TCGCGTTGCATTGCTGCAAAAAACGTGTAATAAATCGTAGAGTAGAAAGATTCGACTTAGGTGTCATGTACAAAAAGACATTTTACGATGCAGTCCGTGTGTTTCATCCTTTAGCTCTAAACACATACCGGACTATGCATTATAAATTAGTGTAGTAATTTCGCGACACGCCGTTGCAATAAGTTGTTGTGCCTATTTCCTCAAAAATGCTGCATTTTAGTTCTCAAATTTTGCATTGCCTTTTGCGTCTCTCTTATTTTCCCTTGCTTTTCCTATATAGAAAGAAAAAAAAAAACACGTGAAATTTGGTATTTATTCTGTTTGGTTTATGAATAAACGAAATGAAATGTACGAGGTCCAATTGCAGCACTGAATAGGAATGTATGCGACTTGATGGACCGAAACATTCTCATTCAGATTTTAATCTTATTTTATTCCCATTCCCCTTTTTTATTTCCTTACAATCTTTCATAAACATATACCAACTAAAATTAAAATACAATGCTCCTAAAAAAGCCAAAAAAAAAACAAACTTGGCTTGCGGAATGCCGGTCTGGCCGTCTGCTTCGCCATCGCACCAGCAATCGGATGCATTCCAAGAATGCCTGCGAATTCCACAAATGATCCAATCAAATATGCTTATAGCACAATTCTGTAACACTGCTGAAATGTACTAGATATCAATCGCTGTACGAATAAGAAGCAACGAAATGCGTTTTCAGGAAACCAAACCAACAAAGACCGTCGGAAGGAACAGGACAAGGCTAAGCACGCGAAACAGATGGCTTCCTCAACCATTCACCAGAAATGCCCCGTGCTGATTTCACTGATCCGGCATTCTTCAGATTTTTTTTTGTGGCCATTGACATTATAAACAGTTGGGCTCTACGTAAAATTAACACCGCCCAGCATATCATTGCATCCACGCGAGAAAGTAAATTCCGATGGACCGGACACGCTGCTCGCTTTGCCGATAATCGCACTAGTGCCCACGAGAAAGTAAACGACCACTCGGACGACCCCCTCGAAGAGTTGGCGCGCATATATAGAACAGATGGTTGGTACTAAATGCAGTGCAAGATCGAAGGGACAGGGGAACTGGGAGCACCTTCGTTACAACACTAACAGGGGGCACCGAAACTGATCGTCCAAACAGTCTTCATATTCAATGAACGCCGGATACCGAAGCATAGTCGGTCACTCTTGTCACCGAGTAATGGAATAGTTGTGGTCAGCGGTGGGCGTGGCCGGCGGACTGACCATCTCTCTAAAAAAGAGAAGCGAACATGACCACGTGATGACCACTGTGATAACCACATGCTCCAGTTCCCACATTCATTGACAGGCATTCATACACAGTGTTATATGCGTGTACTTTCATTGTCCGTTGTGTTCTTCGTCTGTTCGGTGTATAAAAGAGGTGCGATGCGTCTGGATAACCTCATTGTTGTCCTCATTGCCGAGCGGAGCGGCTCATTCATCGATCTCATTAATCCCCGAGGTGTCTTTCTTTCATTTCTTTTGAAGCGGTGTTTTCGTAGCTAACTTTTGTCGCTTCATTTGCTGCGTTTGTTTTGTCATTATTTGTGGAAGTTAAATTACTGATAAAGTGTTGGTTGGAGCCGAGTTCCGATCGATTAGGAAAATTTATATTTTTAACCAATCCCTCCACGACTCGTTTGGGTGGTAAAATTGGTCCTGGCATATGGCGAGAAGTCAAACTCGCCATTAGTTTGCTTATAAACAACCTGCGAAAGAGGGGACCATCGACAGCTTTGGCAGTGAGTGGTTGCTGTTGGCATTTGCTACTAGTCGGGCTGCTTCCCGAGTGTCATCGCCTCTCATTCTGACATTTTTTGTAAAATCCCTCTTCCGTAATCGTTGTCAGAAGCAACACTGGTTACGAAGCTCCGGAATATAATACGAAGGCTGGGCATGCTCAGGCCTAGGCTCACAGTG